TGGCATATGTCCGTGTGACAGTGAGCGATCAGGCTCTGTGAGCCGCGGTCCTCAATCCCGCCGTAAGTTTTGAGCCCAACTGGACAAAATCCAAACTTCCGGAGCCAGAGACTTATTTAATTCTTGCCGACAACACAGTGCTTGTCCAATGCGATCACTGCAGTCATGCCAGAAGCCCTCGATGTCGTTCTTGCGGGGCCCACGGCGGCGATTGGCCCGGCCTTTGCCCCTGATGAGCTAGACATCGAGTACCTGAAAGATCACATCTCATTCTGGTATCAGCGCAAAATCCTGCTGCAGCAGCTGGCTTCAACCGGGAACTAGGAGCTTGACGAAGTTCTGGTTCTGCATGCATGGGTTCTGTTTGATTTTGATTTCGTTTCTAATTTTTTCCTTGGTTTGCTATATTTTCCTTTGCACCACTCACGAACCGAACTCGAAAGCGAGGACACTCTCACTTACAGCATAACCTGATGCCTTTATCAATCACGTATCCGAACCTCATGTCTCTACGACACTAATGAAGATCCCATTTGTTAGCAGCGACCTACAGCACCAATATAGCGTATCAACCAGGCACCTCATGCCAATCTCAGCGCCCGAGACATTGCCCGAAGGCATGTAAAAACTTGAAAGAAATTCCATGCAGTCTTCTTGTTTGTATATGCCCCTAGAACACGACGTAGAGGATTTGAGGTGCGTCTGCAGGAGCACATCGAAGGAGGGAATGGAAGAAGAATGGAAGGAAGCTGAGAGCGGAGAACGCTGCTGTCAACCCCTGTCAACAGCGCTGCACAGCGTCATCTCGCGGTTTTGGACATAACCACATTTGCAAGGGGTGAAGAAACTGCCAGCTTGGTACATTTAACGGAAGTAATCCAACCCGAGGCGTCTCGCTCACTGAGACAACTCAAAGCAAGGGCTACCCATGTTTAGGGCGAGTGCGGCGGAAGCCATGATTCAACGGCATTGTGACAAGGGCAATGTTCTGGGCTTGGAACAGTAGT